CTGATGTCAAAGAACCTGAAGGGGATAAAGAAGAAGATGACAAATCAGAACCTCTGGATGACCAAACATGTGAGGGGAATGATAAGCAGACTGATGTCAAAGAACCTGAAGAGGACAAAGAGGGAGGTGACAAATCAGAACCTCTTGATGACCGAACAAGTGAGGGGAATGATAAGCAGGCTGATGTAAAAGAACCTGAAGAGGACAAAGAGGAGGTGACAAATCAGAACCTCTCGATGACCAAACAAGTGAGGGGAATGATAAGCAGACTGATGTCAAAGAACCTGAAGGGGATAAAGAAGGAGATGACAAATCAGAACCTCTGGATGACCAAACAAGTGAAGGGAATGATAAGCAGGCTGATGTCAAAGAACCTGAAGAGGACAAAGAGGGAGGTGACAAATCAGAACCTCTCGATGACCAAACAAGTGAAGGGAATGATCAGCAGACTGATGTCAAAGAACCTGAAGAGGACAAAGAGGGAGGTGACAAATCAGAACCTCTTGATGACCGAACAAGTGAGGGGAATGATAAGCAGGCTGATGTAAAAGAAACTGAAGAGGATAGAGAGAGATGTGACAAATCCGAACCTCATGGTGACCAAACAAGTGAGGGGAATGATAAGCAGGCTGATGTCAAAAAACCTGAAGAGAATAAAGAGGGAGGTGACAAATCAGAACCTCTTGATGACCGAACAAGTGAGGGGAATGATAAGCAGACTGATGTCAAAGAACCTGAAGAAGATAAAGAGGGAGGAGATGAATCAGAACCTCTTGATGACCAAACAAGTGAGGGGAGCAATAAGCAGGTTGATGTCAAAGAACCTGAAGAGGATAAAGAGGGAGGTGACAAATCAGAACCTCTGGATGATCAAACGAGTGAGGGGAATGATAAGCAGGCTGATGTCAAAGAACCTGAAGAGGATAAAGAGGGAGGAGATGAATCAGAACCTCTTGATGACCAAACATGTGAGGGTAGCGATAAGCAGGCTGATGTCAAAGAACCTGAAAAAGATAAAGAGGGAGGAGATGAATCAGAACCTCTTGATGACCAAACAAGTGAGGGGAGCGATAAGCAGGTTGATGTCAAAGAACCTGAAGAGGATAAAGAGGGAGGTGACAAATCAGAACCTCTTGATGACCAAACAAGTGAGGGTAGCGATAAGCAGGCTGATGTCAAAGAACCTGAAAAAGATAAAGAGGGAGGAGATGAATCAGAACCTCTTGATGACCAAACAAGTGAGGGGAGCGATAAGCAGGTTGATGTCAAAGAACCTGAAGAGGATAAAGAGGGGGGTGACAAATCAGAACTTCTGGATGACCAAACGAGTGAGGGGAATGATAAGCGGGCTGA